ACCCCCCCCCCCCCCGTAAAGGAAGGGTTTCCTAAGGCAAATATTATTGGGGCTGCCTCATGGACATGGTACCAGGTGCTTGGTTTCCAGTGATTCTTTCCTGGCTAGCTGGTTTCCTATGTGGGCTGCTACTGGGCACACTCCAAGACCTTACTTAATCACATCTGTGAGAGAATTACTTGAAGGGTACATGTCCCAGTTGTGGCTAATTGGTTCAACTTTCTGAGAGAGGCAAATGCATTCTTAGGTCAGCATTAGAATAAGCACATTACTCATTAATCATTAAAAGCCACTGAGTTTGAGATCATCAAAAGAACGTTACTTAAAATAAGCAAGAAAAGAGAAAAGGTGTTTTCTTTCCAGCAGCATTCAGAGCACAGAATATTGCCTTCAATTATTCTTCCGTAATGTGTTACACTGTAATTTATAATAACCTAGACTTTGGAATAACCCCCTTTCCGTCAATGGATCCCTTGCTATGTGGGCAGTTGGCTTTATAGCATCTTTTCCATCACCTGTGCGGGAACAATTACAGGTACAAGCTATGTTGACAGTTACCTCACCAAAGACATCTGACATCCTTTAAAAAAAGGTAATTCAGCCTACAAGATGTGTCCATTTTGGTTAGTCTATTTTTCCTTTCCCTTAGTGCAGCAGCAGATGCAATCAGCTAGATATGGCCTAAAAATAGCAGGAAGACCACTCCTCTGGAAGCAGGAGATCAGCCCAGGCCCCCTCTGCTGTTAATGGTGTGATTACAGGCAAGTTATTTATGTCTTGGCTCATCAGTTGTTTGCTCTGACTCCCACCTGCTTGTTTTGGGAGAATGAAATAACTCCTTTGAAAACACTTGGAAAAGTTCCTTTCTGGGGGTAAGGAGGCACTATGCAATTGTGAAGGGCAATAACGTACAAGACCATCAGACAGTCTGCCTACTGATGTGGCTGCGGAAGATGATTCATTCTCTTCTTCATCTATCAAGGAGTAGATGGCGACCCCCCGCCGCCCCACCCCCTGCAAGAAAAGCGGACGGATTTGATGCAAATGACAATTGATATATGACCTATTATGAAGGCACCTACTTGGCTTGAATGTGGATACAACCAGAACACATGTTAAGTTCCAGAAAATAGCTGTTCTAAAACCAGAGGATTCATATTCTGTTACAGAATTCATTAGGTAAGGGAGAAATGTGCAGTAGATAAAGCAGAAAGCTGGGCAGAAATGCTGGAGAAAAGGTTATATGGGGAGGAAGGTGATAGAAGGGACCCCGAGGAGACAGTAACTGTTGAACTTCCTTTGTACTAGGAAGCTGGCCATTAAATCCAATGTTGTAAAGATCATAACACAAGAAAAATAATTACAACCAATAATGAAAGTAAAGAGGAAGCAGGGGCAACGAGATTAAGTGACTAGGCCAAGGTCATACACATGGTGGAGAGCAGAGCTGGGATCCAAGATGTTGGATCCGAAGGCCGCGTTTGTACCTACTGCAGACACAGCCCCCAGTGTAATCACTGGTAGAAGTCAAGGGCACCTCTAGTGGCAAATCTCAGTAATGATGTTATTTAGACTGTGTGTGACACTGTCACATGACAGCAAGTTAAACCACCGTTCAGGTGCCTGGATGTCGACCAGTAGTGTAAACTTCCTACTGGATGGCGGTTCTAAAGCAGACCAAACATTCTAGGGCAGTCACAATTAGAAAGACAGGAGACTAAACAGTTCTTTCAACGCTGAGCTTCTCTGAGCAACACGGTCAGCTTTCTGTTGCCACGGGACTGGTTTTGGAGTATCTTTCTTGGATTTGTGGTTGGCCCGGAAAATTCTGTCTAAAGCCATTCCCCACCACAGAAACACTATACTTTATGAGAACTGACAATGGGAAGGACGATATGTGATCCCGTGAAGCATTTCCAGGATCCAACCTTAAGTAGAATATCTAGAACACCAAATTCAATCCATGTTGGGCTAAAGATGATGGGAGAACTATATACACATAGTCTGGAAGGACGGAAAAAACAAGATAAAAATGATTTCTGGGGTAAAGTGGCAAAATCATGTGTGACCAAATCACTGAGAATGTGACGTAACGCGTGTAACAGAGCACATAGTTTTTGGAGAGATCCTCCCATCTGGCCCAGGGGCTGCCCCGAACGACAAGGCAGTCCCGGCTGGCAATCCACACCACATCCTGAGCGGGAAGCTCCAGCTTCCATTCCAGTTCCGAGATGCACGCCGCTACGAAAATGCCAGGCAGACCTCAATATACTTACTCTTGTAACAGTGCTTGCGGGGGGGACACTGAGTTCATTAAAGGGGGTGACATTTCTTCAGGATAATAATCTGTCCTCTGTGGTTCGATCCCAGGTTCTATTTTAATTTTTTTCTGTAATAGAGGCTTCTCATATGATTCAATTACAGGGACTACAAAATAAAAATAGAAAAGTTACTCTATGTACCATTTACCGATTTCAGCCTTTAAAAGCTTATTGCACGGCTTCTAGCTACCACACTGATGTGTATCTATTTGCCTTTGGCAAAATGACAGCAGAAATGAATCGGTGGGCGCTTCTTGTTCCTCCAAACGATTACTTTGTCAGCAAGCACCATATGGAGGAAGCTGGACTTTTAAGACATCAGCCCCCAAAGGATTTCTTCCTTATGACGTTTGGTTATCTCCTTGTTACCCCAGCCTTCTGCCTCTGACCAGTCAGTAAACAAGGTGGCTTTTAATAGTCATTAGTTATCACATGGTCTAAAGGTATTTTTTAAGTACTTTTTTGCACCTAGAACCATGTTGGTATTCAGTAAAGCAAAATATGAAGTCAAGATTCTTATTATCCCCAAGTTGACAAGTATATAGTGAAACTAATCATTTCATGGCATTTAACAGACAGCCTGATTCTTCGGAGATCTTCCAGTGTCAACACTTAAAAAAAAAAAGCAAATGCCTTAGGCAGACTCTAAGTCGAATATTTCCTTTTCAGAGTGCAACAGCTCTTGGCCCCTTGCTTCCTTTGCTCCCTCACCCAGACTATGTGGTGAAGACCCGGTAAGTCCGGACTAAGCAGGGGGGCGGCAGTGTGGGCGAGTGGCAGAATTTACCTTGCATGCTACTACTGGAATTTTCCATCTCGTCCGACAGGGAGACCATGAGCGGCTGCTGGAGGTGGCTGGTGTACATGAAGGGGACGGGCTGCACGACAACAGGCTGGATGACGGGCAGGATGCCGGGGCTCCGGATGCCATGGCGGGAGAGGGCCGCAGCCATCACAGGCGGCATGGACAGCGGCACGCTGAAGGGCTGCACGCCGGGCGGCGGCGGCGGCGAGTACTTCTTCCCCGGTGGGCTGGACGAGGGCAGGCTCAGCCCTGGCGAGGCTCTCCGGTGCAAGGACTGGAACTTCAGGGAGGAGGGCAAGTTCCCGGCAGAGGGCGGTGAGCTCCGCTTGTTCACGGTGAGGTCCACCGGCTCCATCTGCATCCCGTGCGACAGGCCTTCCGGGGTCTGGAAGAACTTATCAGATAACGGTGTGGAGTAGATGACGCCATACTTGTTGGGCTTCATCGACTCCATGTAATTAGACGGGTATGACTATTGGAAAAGACAGACAGAAACGTGTCAACAGCCAAGTAAGCGTGTTTGCTTGAAACACGAATTAAGATGAAAATATACAACAAGGCACCTTCAATCACATGGACTTTAATAAGTGGTTTGGGTTTAGATACATGCTTGACCCTAAAACAATGCTATGAGAGAGAGCTGGTCTAATAAACATAAGTACTAAAGTTAATGTGGTGGGCTTCCCTGGTGGTGCAGTGGTTGAGAGTCCGCCTGCCGATGCAGGGGACACGGG